TGGGGCAGCCCTCGCTACTCTAGAAGCACGAGCAAGTGCATTGTTGTGATGGAAAAAATAACAACACTGCGTTTAACTTTGCTGGACCTTTTCTCCCCAATGCAGTCTTCCATTTTTCAAAAATGTCTTCCTAATAAGCTCCCGTGATGCACCCTGCCCCTTGGGGATCCCAGAAGGAGCTGCCATGAAATTTTGAAGCGAACTGAACTGGGTTACATTGCGCTGCTGACCACACACCGACAAAGACTAGCTGCTCCTGGGAGGAAGATGAGGCTCTCTACGCAGGCACAGAAGTCGTCTCGGAAAAAGCCCACAGGGGCAGTTCTCCTTCATCCTGCAGGGTCATTATGAAGCGGTGAGTTTGGTTGGTTCGAACTGAACTGGCCCAGCGGACACACTCAGGAAGCAGTACTTTGTTTGGACCATCTTCTAAGGCACCCTACATGAGACTAAGAGAAGTGTATTCCCGACGAGAGAACGTCTCCAGCCATCCGCTGATTGCAGAGACATGTTTAAATACATTATTTTTTATACATTATTTTTAATATACCCATGTGTGTAGGAAGTAGAACCCTATTAGCAATACGTTTTACCCAATGCCCGTACTATTATTTAGTATTGCTTATCTGAATCTTCAGGGAGAAAGACAGGGCTTTCTACTACTAACAATTGCAGTCTGTGATACTCCTATAGGGTAGAACAGGGCCATGAATCGCACTGGCTCATCGACTCAGTGAATGATCTAAATTTCAAAAATTGAAAAACAAGCACAGGCGATTGAACAAGTTCTATTGGTTGTAAGCTCGTCGAGCATCACTTAGAGAACTTGAGAAAAATCCACGAGTTCTGTGCTGGTCAGTTTACAGACGGCAAAAAATTTCCTGATGTGGAAATGATTACCACTAAACATATTTGGGGAGCTTACATGGTCCACACTGTTCCCAGTGCTTTATAGGAAGGAACTGGTTTAATCTCCTCAACAGAGGTTGGTCCTATACGCATAAGCCCCACGCCACAGATGAGGAATCCAAGTCACGGAGAGGCTCGGTCCCTGTCCGAGGCCCCCCGGCTGGGGCTCAGAGCCAAGATTCCAACCCAGGCCGACTAGTCTCGAGCCCCAACATCCAGCATTAGCAAAGTAGAGTAGACCTTCTCTCTGAGATAGGCTAAGCTGCTACTCAAACAATAAGAGGACTTTCTTCTTACAAAATTAATTAATGTAAGGCAGTTTTTAAAACTCTTATTCTTTACAACATTCGACTAGGAAAAACCGTCTACGGTTTTCCACAAAGCAGCGATGAGAGTTTGTTAAATGAGCAGTGAGGGAGGCCACCAGATCGCCTCACTTTGTAACAGCTCCCTTCATGACAGCACGAACCCTTGTGACGTCACGATCAAGAATACTCACAAGCCAGTGGACACACACGCCTTCACACGCACCTTTTTTTTGGGTTCGAAACATTTCCAACTGCTTCTGCTGCTGGCGCCTCAGCGTGTTCACGATGGCGATGGCCAGCCTCAGCGCTTCTCTCGGGTACCCATGAGAACGCAACGCGTCCACGCGCGCGCAGGCGGTGGGGACATGCTCTACGGCAGAAAGGTAAGGGGGCAAGGTGCCACTGTCAGATGGATTTACAAAACCAGGATTCGGGAGCTCGATGCCCCCCCCCCCCCAATACTAGTACACAAGATACGAGAAACCAATTCTGAACTTGGATTTCAATGAAGAAACAAGACACGAAATAACGCAACTCTTATTGCCAGGCATTCACCCATCTCCCATTGAGTCCCTGGACGGCCCCCTCCCACTCCAGTAATGCCATAGAAACTGAACAAAGAAGTCAGTCAGGGAATGTCTTTCCCGTTTGGCCGCTTACCATGCCAGAGGGGCCACCCGCGGGAGTCAAAGAGGGAGTTCTCCGTGTCGTCATGGTAACAGCAGTTGGTGTACAGGTCACTGCTGATAATGTGCTGCAAGTGGCTGTCCTCCCAGTGGAGACCGCAGGCCTCGATGGCTCGCGTGAACACTGTCCGGTGCGGCCTGTTCGATGAATCTGTTTGTTCCACAATTCAGAAAGTGGTGTCAGCTACCAGTCACATGTGAGCACATCAGTCACACCACTCTGTGGCCAGATGGTCACAAACACACCCACACAGTTCGTCCTGCACCCCCGAAGCCGAAGGGTGAGGGGTGAGTACACGCATATCCCAAGTACTAGGAGGCCCTTCAGCCCAAAGAGCTCTTTCCCTCTCTTGTTTTGTCAAACACAAACACTCTGCAGCCATGAAAGCTAAGCTTAAAGGCATCCTGCGAAAAGAATCGTCGAGTCTAGCTGCCAAGCCAAATCCACTCAAAGGAGGTACTCGGCACACAGATCCCAGGAAAGCTCCCTGCGCCCCACTTCGGAGGTCTGCGATGGGCCGCCCTGATGGGATCGACAGCTCTAACAAACACTGTGCAAGAGAGGCGGCACCAGCCATGGAACCTTCCAGGAAGATGCAGTCAGCCTTTAAAGATATGCATAAGGGTTGTGCTTTTGGTTGTATTTTTTAACTATATTGTGCGGTTTTGCACAATTAAAACTATTATGCTTCTTGGGATATAATGATTAAGTGCCACTTTATATCCCAAAGGGCATAAATGCATAAATTTAACATTTCACAAAGCCACACAACATAGCTACAAAACAAACCAGCGCACTTACCTTGCACCTACAGGCTGCCTCCTGACTCCTGAGCAGGTTCCATGCCTGGGGTGATGTCCCAGCATAGTGCATGCCAGGGCATCACAAAGGGGCAGAAGCAGACACTCCAAAGAGGGTTCAAGTCTCAGGACCTGACGGAGAAAAGAAATGTTTGGGGAATAACGGATATTCTCACACTCACGTCTGGGCTTACACAGTGCCTATAGGTAACAATGGCTCCAGTCTAACTGCACTCCCAGCCACGGGCCCCGCACTCCAGACTTAACCCTTGAGCTGTGAAGAAACCTGGTGCAAGCCTCAAGTGCAAAGCAGAGCCAGCAGCTCTCCTCATCACGTGCACCTCACTGCGCTCAGGGAAGCCCTTCCTGCCCCGTGGCTGCCCCGAGTGAGGACCAGGGGCTGGCGCTTCCTGGGCTGGCTGGGTTTCCTCTTCCTGTCACTGGTATTTTGACTGAGCAGGGACACAAGGGAAATCACAAAGACCAGAGAACAGCAGAATCAAGAGGAATGAACCAGAGATAGGTATTCTAGTCCACCTTCCCTAGTCTGCCGATGGAACTGATGGCAAGAGAAGTAGCTTGCCAGGGTCACATGACAAGGTAGAGGCTGTCAGGATTCAAAACGTAGGCATTTTTACTTCACATTCAGAGCTCTTTCAGTTATTCTGAATGGCTCTTGATATGTTTTTAACAGAGAGTGACGTTAAGTTTGGTCTCGAGTCAAATTAAGCTATATGAATTTGAATGGGAGACATGTAAGGATGCATGGATGGTGGCTAATTTAAGAGGCATAAATCATGATGTATTTGTAATGACTCTTACCCAGAGACCCGAAGGTCAGCAGAAAGGTACAGGCTTTGCAAATGGGATTAGCAGAGTTACATTTAAGAGTCATCCAAATCCACTCGGCCTCTTCTCTGAGCAGAATAAATATACCTTCCACCAATAAGAAACTGGCTCCATGGACTCTCATAGTCAATAAAACAAACATTCCAAAGCCAGGGTGCTCGCACAAGCATTTTTAAGTTGGCTTTGTCATTTTAGTTAGTTTTTACTGAGACAGAATTGAAAAGAAAACAACACAGACACAACAAACAAAGAAACAGTAAACGGCGCTCTCAAGTCAGTCCAATGCCCAGTGACCTTGCAGGACAGAGGAGACTTGCTGGATGGGGTGTGTGAGACTGCTACAGACAGCCTCATCTTTCTCTCACAGAAGGGTTGGTGGGTTTGAACCGCTGTTCCTGTGATTAGCAACCCAAAGCTTAAATCATTGCACTACCAGACCAGGATTCCTTTAAAACTAAAAGGTGACTTAAAAAAAATCAACTATTACATGTGTTTTAAAGTAGTAAGTTAAAGACTTTAATTGCTGACTTGGCTCACCATCTGCTACTTCAGTAATAAAAACAAAGTGTATAGTAAAATTCCACTTAACAAAAACAACTGCAAATACCTTAATGGTTCACATGCCTATCTATGATGATATGAGCATTGAAAAAGGGCAGACACATGCCAGGCAGAGTTAACACTTGTTCCCTTTGCAAGAACAATAACCAATTCCAATACAAAAGGCTAAATAGTCATAAAATAATGTTTAAATTAAAATGTAGGCTACTGGACCCAACTCAAGTGGAACAGGTTTGGCAAATGAGACTCCACACATTTGACAGAGGCTACTTCCACATGTTTATTTATATGTGCAACAAAGGTATCCTTGAATACAGCAGAGCACACAGAGAGAAAAGCTATGAAAACGTCCCAGTGATAACAAAGCACCTTGAGGAACTGAGTCCCTTGCTCGTCCTGGGAGCTCAGGCCTATAGTCTTGGGGGACACCAAGGTCAACTGGCATAACAGTTCACAGAGACAATGCTCTAAATGCTACTTTGGTGAATAGAGGTGGGGGTCTTAAACGATTGTGACCAACCTTCGAAGGTACAACTTTTCTTTGGTCTTTCCCTGTCTTGAGCAAAGACAAGTGAAGAAAACAAAGGTCTAAGAAAACCATCAGTTCAAAGGACTAATGTACCTGAGCTAGAACTCGATGGTGCCTGGCTACCACTGCTGGCTGCTCTGGAAGGGATCACAGTAGGAGAGCCTTAATCGAGTGGAAAAAAGCGGAACAAAACTCAACACCGTGGAAAAGACCAAAGCACACCTGTCACCAGAGACTGGTGAAACCCCCAAGACCACAGTGCTTACACAGCCTTTAGGTCTGGAACCAAACTTACTCATGTGGCTCAGCTCTCGGGTTAATGACAGATCTAACAGGTGAATAATAACACCAGCGTGGTATGCACTGCTTAGAAGCGCCAACCACATGAGATCCAAGGGTAGCATTACCCAGAGCTAGCGCTCCTGAGAAAGACAGGGATAGGGAAGGATGATGAATGGGAACGGGAAAGGCGGGAGAAGCTATGAAGAGTGCTGGGAATTTCGGTCAGTGTCACCACACAAAATGTGCAGGAATTGTTGAATGGAAGACAAATTTGCTCTGTAAACTTTCACCCAGATCACAATGAAAAACAAAATAAAAAGTGAATAATACAGAAAATATAAAAACGTGATCATGTACATGGAACATGACTAGGAGATAAAATGTACAAATGAAGCATTGATTTAATTAGGTGTTGAAGTCGTGATCATTTTCTATTTTTCATTTCTACAGCTATTGAATTTTTGCATTAAGATAAACAATGATTACCAAGCAATTTAAAAAAAATAATAAGTACATGAATTGCTAAAAAAAATTTAAATAAAGTATATGTAATACAAATACATGTTGATTGAAGACTATCTGGGAAATTCAGAAAAGTATACGAGGGAAATTTTAAAATTATTTTTGGTGTAAGATATTGGCTATTATTTTAATATATTAAAAAAACCAATAACAACAATTACTATGCTTCCAGAAAGTAAATGATTCTCATGTGGTTATACCCTGTTTCCCCAAAAGTAAGCCATCTCCAGAAAATAAGACCTACTTACAGTTTTGCTTCTCGCTGAAATATAAGGCATCCCCCCGAAAATAAGCCCCCCCCAAAGCTACTGTAACTCTGGACTCTGAACCATAGCGGCGAGTGCCCCCATGCACCTCACTGTTGGCCGTAGCGCAGGTGGAGCAGACAGGAAGTGTGAGGTCTCTTTTAATAAAACAATAAAAAGTAAATGTGTACCGTATTGTTCTTCATGGAAAAATAAGACATCCCCTGAAAATAAGACCTAGCGCATCTTTGGGAGCAAAAATTAATATAAGATACTGTCTTATTTTCGGGGAAACAGGGTAGTTTTGTTGTTAATGGCAGAAGCTCCAGAAGCTATAGACACAACAGCTGTAAATATTGCATCAAAAACTGGGAATTGACTTCCAATCTGTGGGTCAGACTCTAAGTGGGATGTACTGTTGAGGGTGCAGAGTGAACTACTGGATAGCACCTTCCTAAGGCTTACAGAATACTCATGTTTACCCAAGAGGAATGTAATACAAGGCAGTAAAAGGTAAAATATAAATGTTACAATGGCTTCTCAAAGAAGTGGTGGGGCACGAACCACAGAGAAAACTGCCAAGAATAAGCAGAAAAGGATTTAAGAGATGATCTATGTATGTATATGAGACCAGACATTTCTTTCCTGGTAATGAAATAGAATAAATATTAGAAAACTAAACTTAAATTTTTTGAGCATCTAGAAAAAATACAATTAGGTTATGAAGGTAATCTATTTCCTTGGAGGCTATTAAATAAAATCATCAAGGGCAATAAAGATATGACAAATTTCAAATACTGGATTCCCGAGGAAAGATGTCTAGACAGACAGAGCCAGACAAGCATCTTCCCCAAGTCCTAGAACCTCTTTTTCACTGGGCCTGGCGTGACAGAGTAATAGAAATGGCTGTCTTTCTTGGACACACTGAGAGCTCCATTCCACTCAAACTCGGCCCACTCTCCCAGTGCTACTAGCTCCGTGGGGGGCCAGCCCGTACAGAGCAGCAGCCTAGAGTCAATATGCTGCTGCTATCACTGAATTCCCACTTTACATCTATCATAACTACAATTTTTCTCTTCAAATTAAAAACAAACTAAAACCCACAAAATCATACAAGAACGAACGATAGGTTCATAAAATTTTAGCTGCAAGACTAAACTACTTGGTTAAGAAGTTTGATCTGAAAGAGGGGAAGTAAGTCCACAGTAACTACAAGGAAAATAAAATCCAGGAAGGGTGTTTAAGGATGCAGGTCCTTGAGCTGAAGGAGCAGACCCAGCAGGGAGGAAGAGGTTTAAAAAGCAGACAAATGAGACGCAGAGATTCTTAAGAGGATGTCTGGATTTGTCTAGGGGCACTTGTTGACTGTCTTAAATATTGGAGGACACTGCTTACATACATATAGCCAGTAAGGACTGGCACATGTATGCTAGACAGACCTTCACAGTAATGGTTTTTCCTGGATCAAATGCCACGAACTCTCCAGTCAGTGATAAAAACTGTACTTGCTAAATTCTAAAACTGAAAATGGTTAGCTGACTAGCTAAGTTAAATTACATAGTAATCCATTGACAACAGAGATGAAAGCACACAGACGCTTAAGTCCCTCAATATTGCTTTTGCAAAGTAATGTATGCCCATCCTACTCCATGATTTTTAAAGTTAAAAGAGGGATTTTCCAAAATAACAGTAGGCTCTTTCAATACATATTAAAAAATAAGGATTAAACCACTTGTATTCTAAGAATATTCAAAAATTGCATATAGAGCAAGTAAAGTATAAACACATACACAAATCCATAGCGAAAGATAATAAATGTGTCATTTCCCCGTAACTTTTGTAAGCGACTGTTATAAACATATGTGCACAATTAAGTACATAAAAAACCAGCAGAATGCTGCTTGTCTTGCTCACCTTGGCTGGCATTTGCCCCCTGAGGCAGAGCGTTGGTTAGGTTGGGTAACTCACTCCCGTGATTTCCGTCTTCCCAGGGACAGACATCAACACTGTTCCACTTTTTCAGCTGTTTTAGCCAACTGCTCTTCTGCTCCAACTTGCAGTGGGGATTCAAAACGATACACATCCACAGGGCACCTAATTTGAGGGGGAGTGGGAGGGGTGCAAGCAAAATTTTAAATGATAAAAATATCTAATTAAAATAGCTAATGACACATTTTAAACCATTTCAAATGAACCCTGTTCTGGGATATTTATAATTCTCATAAATTAGTTTTCTGCAAAGAGATATAGCAGAGTCTGAGTTTGGACCAAAGATCCAAATGATGTTACACAAAAGACTAAGGCTAATTGTAATAATAAAAAAACTGACACAACAAAACTGCCAGCATTTCAATAAGAAAAAGACGAATAACCCAATTAAAAAGTGGGCAAAGGACTAGAACAGGCAGTTCACCAAAGATGACGTCGAAAAGGCTAACAAACATATGTAGAAATGCTCAGAATCACTAGCCATCTGAGAGATGAAAATCAGAGCAAGGATGAGACAGATACCACCTTACACCAACAATGATAGCCAAGTTAAAAACAACAAACAAAAAATCCCCAAGTATGTTAAAATGAGATACTAAACATCAAATGATCTAAGAGAAACAGGACAAACATAAAACAAGTAATAAAATGGCAGACTTAAATTCAGTGATATTAATAATTATAGTAAATGTAAATGATTTAAATGTACCTATCCAAAGCATGGCCAAATCAGATATAAAAATAAGATTCAACTCTAGACTGTGTACCAGAAGTCTACATTAAATACAATGACACAGATAGGTTCAATGGAAAAGGATGGAATCAATGCACCACGCAAACCCTATAAAAGTAAAGCTAGAGTAGCTATATTAACGATCACACAAAGTCGGACATCAGAATAAGGGGAACTACCGTGAATAACGTGGGAAGACACAACAATCCTAAATGAATACGCATCTAACAAAAAGAAATGACAGAATTGAAAGAAGAAACAGATACGACGATATTTAGACTTAGCGTTTCTCTGAGTAATTTGATAGGACTGAAGAAAAACAAAAAGGCCAAAATCAAATAGAAGAAAGAAAATTAGGACTGAAAAAAAAAATCTTAACAACCGTATCAACCCCAAATAAGCGGGAAACACACACACACACACACACACACACACACACACACACTCATTTTAAATATACAAACAAACCTTGAAAATGTTAGCATTGAATCGCAAAACATATATTCTCTGACATAATAAGATTAACCTAGCATTTACTAAAGAGAACTTTGAAAAATCTTTAATATCTGAAAATTAAACAACACATTAAATTATGCATGAGACAAAGGAGAAGTCACATGGGAAATAAGAAAATCTTTTTTACTGAATGAAAATAGCATTTAAAACTTTGTGGAATTTAGTGCCCCCGCCCAAAGGCATTTAAGAGGAAGTTTATAGCATTAAATGCTATGCTGGGAAAGTCATATAGCCATCTCAATAAATTTTGAATATATGCCGATGCTGGGAGAGAAGAAACCAACAATCTAAACCACCACCTTAAGAAACCAAAACAAATATAGTAAATTAAAGTCAAAACAAGGAGAAGGAAGAAAATAGCAGGAATCAGAACTCAATGGAATTGAAACAGATCAAATAAATAACAAAGTCCAAAGCTGATTCTTCAGAAAGATCAATAAAATCAATACAGCTTTAGCAGACCGACAGACAGAAAGACGCCAGCCAAGAAGACGCACCGTTTGCGGCTCCCAGGGGCAGGAACAGGCCAGCCAATGAATATCAGGGAGAAACGTATGCCCAGAAGGCCAATAATGCTGATACAATGGCCAAATTTCTGGAAAGTTACAAACTAACAAAGCTTACTTAAAAGGAAACAATAACTGGGATAATAATAATTCCAGTAAATAAATTAAATTCATAGTGAAAAATCTGCTAACCAAACCGGTTCAAATGACTTTCCTAGAAAATCGTTAACAAAGACTCAAGAACGAAATAACGCTCATTCTGTGGAGTGAGTACCCTCCAGAGAGTAGACGATGGGAATGTTTCCACAACTTATTTGCGGAGGCCAGCATGGCTGTAATAGTAAAACCAAACAAAGATGACAAGTAAGGACAACTAAAGATTTATGTCCCTTATGAACATAGAAGGAAAAATCTTCAACAAAATATTAGCAAATCTAAATAAGCAACATATTAAACAGAAAGATAAACTTTAAATGGGTTTGTCTCAGGTGTACAAGGCTAGTTCAACATTAAAAAAACAACCACTATTAATTGACCACATTAAGAGATTAAAAATCGTATGACTATCTCAATATATGTAGAAAAGACGAATGACAAATCAACAGTCCTTCATAGTTTAAAGAAAAGACAAAAGATGAGGCTTCTCAGCTAAAAGGCATCTACAAAGAGACTGGGTGCCTTTCCCCCAACGAAACACCACTTCCCATTTGACATCACACTGGAAGTGACAGCCAGGCAAACAGGGCAGAAAGAGAGGGAAAAGTCAGAGATCTCAAAGGGAAAAAGAAAGAGCCTTTACTTGCTAACAATATGCCTATTACAAAGCAGACTACTGCAGATCGTTAGATTAAAATTGAACATCTTTTGGGGTGCATTTTAAAGTTATTCTAGCTTTTAATATTTTCTATTTCTTTTCAGTTGCCATTTTCCTTTGTTGGTGTTAGATTTGGGGGTGGTGGGGGTACTATTTTCGGTACATGAAATCCAAGATAGGTACATTTACAGAGGCAGTAAATGGATGACTGGTCTCTTGGTAGGGCAGAAAGGCTGGGAAGGGGTGGGAATAAAGAGTTAATAACAATGGGTACAAGAAAGAAGAAGACCTAAAATTGATTGTGATGATGATTGTACAACTCTTCCTGATATGACTGAGCTATTTAATTGTTATGATATGTGGTTTATGTTCCAATAAACTTAAGAAAAATCGTCTAGACTTCCTCAGTTTCGCAAGGTCCAGGTAATTCCAAAACAAACAAAATAAAACATTAAAAATGAACACTATTAAGCACTATTTATAGTAGCACATAAAAGCATGAAATATTTGAGTATAAATCAGAATTATGTATAGATTCTGTGTAATAAAATTACAAAATACTGATGAAAGAAACCAAAGACAACCTAAAAAAGTAGAAAGTTATTATTGTTCACGGACTGAAAAATGCAACTGTTAAGATGTTGGTTCTCCCAAAATTAATCTACAGATTCAAAAGGGCTGCAACGCCCTAAGAGGCTTCTTGTATGCATTTGTTAACTGACGCTAAGATTTTTAAGGAAAGGCAATGGATTTCAGACCAGCAATTTTTTTAAATAAAAAAGTTGAAAGACTCATGCTACTTGAAGTCAAGACTTTTAAATAAAGGTACACTAATACAAACTACTGTGGTACTGTCAAAAATGAAATAAGCACATGGATCCGTTCATAAGACCCACACAAGTATGTTCAATTAATTGAATTCAATGAAGGAAAACAGTCTTTTCAACAAGCTGTACTGAAATAATTGGACACCCATGTACCCACATAAAGGCCCCAATTCATACTGCATGCCTTATATATAATCACAAACCCAAACCTGAAACCATAAAGCTTCTAGAAAATCCTTTAGAGAAAATCTTTGCAAAGGTTAAGCAAAGATATTGTTATATACAAAACCCAAAACATTATTTATAAAAGATAAATTCGACACAGTGGCCTTCATTCAAATTTTAAATCTATGCTTTGCAAAAGTCAATGTTAAGAGAGAGAAAACATCTATAAATCCCATACCTAACAAAAGAAATATATCTAAAATAAGTACAACGAACCTATTACCATTGGGTCAATTCTGATTCACTGTGGCCCTCTGTAGGGTTTCCAAAGCAGTAAAGCTTTTATGGGAGTTCACAGCCTCATTTGTCTCCCTTGGGGAAGCTGGTGGGTTTGAGCTGTCCACTCCACAGTCAGCAGCACAATGCTCACCTGATAGTACCTCAGGGGCTCTAAGAATATGCAAAGTCCTCTCAAAACTCACTAAGATAACACCACCAACAAAAGTACCAAAACAAATAACACAAATGGACAACCAATACATTTGAACAGACATTTTACCTCAGAAGGTAAACACATGAAAAGATGCTCACCATCATTAATCATTAAGGAAATGCAAATCAAAACCACAATATGGCACCACTTAAAAACTGGCTAATTAAGGTCGGCGATGGACATTGGGTGTCTACTCAAGCACTGCCTCAATGCAAGAACATTTTGTTCTAATAACCTGGAATGCCATGATGCTCACCTTCCCAACACGATCGCTGAAGACAAGATGGGTGCATAAGCAAATGTGGTGAAGAAAGCTAATGGTGCCCGGCTATCAAAAGACATAGCATCTGGGGTCTTAAAGGCTTGAAGATAAACAAGCGGCCATCCAGCTGAGAAGCAACAAAGCCCACATGGAAGAAGCACAACAGACTGTGTGATCACAAAGTATCGATGGGATCAGGTATCAGGCTTCAAAGAACAAAAAATCATATCAATGTGAATGAGGCGAATGCGGCGTAGAGACCCAAAGCCCATCTGTAGGCCACTGGACATCCCCTTATAAAAGGGTTGCATGGAGGAGACAAGCCAGTCAGGGTGCAGAGGAGATGAGCCAGTCAGGGTGCAGTACAGCAACAATGAAACATAAAACTTTCCTCTAGTTCTTTAATGCTTCTTTTCATACAACTTTCCTCTAGTTCTTTAATGCTTCCCTCCACCCGACCAGTCCCCACTATCGTGGTCTCAATTCTACCTTACAAATGTGGCTAGACCAGAGGATGTACAGTGGTACAGATAAGAACTGGAAACAGGGAATCCAGGACAGATAAACCCCTCAGGACCAATAATGAGAGTAGCAATACCAGGAAGGTAGGGGGAAAGTGGGGTAGAAAGGGGGAACTGATCACAAGGATCTATATATAAGCCCCACCATGGAGGATGGACAACAAAAAAGTGGGTGAAGTGTAAGACATGACAAAATAATAATAATTTATAAATTATTAAGGGTTTGTGAGGGAAGTAGAGTGGGGAAGGAGGGGGAAAATGAGGAGCT